TTTATAAAATATTAACAACAATTAACATAAGTAAATGCCTAAAGGTATTTTAATGTTTATCTTATCTTATTTGGATAAAAGCGATTTGTAAAAATTTCATCCCTCCAATGTGGTCTAATCTAAAAGAGGGGGAGGGGCGGGAATAGAAATGGAACAATTTGTTCGATACTTACTTACTTACTTACTTACTTACTTACTTACTTACTTACTTACTTACTTACTTACTTACTTACTTACTTACTTACTTACTTACTTACTTACTTACTTACTTACTTACTTACTTACTTACTTACTTACTTACTTACTTACCTATGAGTAATCAACTACATTTTTCATCTAAGATCATTGATTGTAGTCAATGTCTTACAAGTAACTTGCTCTATCTAATTCAAGTTTTTCATTAGAAATTATACTCGTTGATAAGACATTGTTAAAATATTCAATCTGTAGATTATTTTTGTCAGATTCATTCAGTACCATAGTGACTAGAGTGTTCCTTCAACTTTTTACTTTTAACATAAGTCAATACTTTTCAGAATAATTTGGTCATCATTCCACACAGATATCATCTATTCCATTTTTATTATAATTTCACTTTGATCAATAATGTTAATTAACACGAAACTTCAGTCAAACAAAGTTTCTTTTCAATAATACTATTCAGTTGATTAAATCAAATTAGGTAGGATACTTTTAAGTTTGTAACCTGCTAAATGAAATTTGAATAGTCTAACATTGAAATATTTAAAGCATGAAAACATCTATTTGTTAACTTATAAACAAAAAGTAACTTTAAATTTTTCTAGAAAATGTAATCATTTCTTAGGACTTGTTTCTAATCTAATGAGCCCCCAAATACCCTGGTACAGCTGAGAGTGGGGAGAGTCCGTTCTCCCTCTCAAAATGCTCTCACATGGCCATACGTATGTAGACTCTGACAGGGTAGTCCTACTCACTACCTTCTCATGGTATTACTGATGTTTACGAAATTGAGAGGATGAAAAGCGAATATCCGGCGCTTTAACCGGTTCGATGGAAACGGAATGTTCACCTAGGAGAGTTAGAAAAACCCTGATTCCAAATCAATGGTGTACATGGGCTGGCTCTAGTATCCTGAGGGAACAAATGGTGTATGAACCAATTATTGGTCATTGGCTACCATGGGACTGCATCTCCTCACGATGCTCCACTGCCTTTTGGATCAGATCTTTAGGTTAAAGACTCGGGGTGTGGCTTTCCAAGAAAACCACCTGCTTCGGTCTAGGAACCCGGACAGTATCACAGCTCTCACACAAATCTCATTTGATTTGTGTGGCGCATATGTGTCTGGTACCCCTTTGTACCAATATTTATGTGTTTAGTTAAATAAATAAATAATACAATCTAATGATATAATTCACTTGGTATTGTTTACTTGAATCATTCCATTTATGCTTAGGACTGAATTTGATCCGTCTCTTATTGGAATATGTACATAATGTGCGTATTGCCTCGATATTGCCTTAAATCATAAGCATTATAAGCAAAGATAGATAGTGGCTAGCCGTAAAATCCATGACGTGCTTTTCTTCCTCTTTTGGACTCATCGAATAGATGTATCAGCATCTCAGAGTTGATATTCACTCTGGGACTGTAACTCGGTAGCTAATAGAATAATACGATGGCATTCAAAGCGAATGCGACTGGATTCGAATTCTAGGATGGATATCAAATCTGGAATTCAGTCATGGATTCCACAGCTAGTCATTATTATTCATATTTACTTATCATTATTAATTGTATAAATATTTTAAATACCATATATATAGTTGATGACGATCATTTTAACATCACAGCATGTAATGAGAATGTACAATAGTTTTCATCATTAAAAAATAAATAGACATTTAATTTTTTTCTTTTTGATTGACAAGATCTTTCAAAAAGTTTACCCTCCCCCCCATCCACACACACACACACACATACACCCACACATACTTTTCCATACAAACAAAATAGAGTAAAGTTTACAAACACTTAGAAACAGCTTGAATAAATTTTAACAGTTTAGTTTTTTTTTTTAAAAAAAAAAAGAAAAAAATTAATAACTGACTTATATTCAAGCCAATTTGCGCCTTATTAATATACATATATTTCGATCAAAATCAATAAAATAGAGGCATTTGATCGAGCTTATGCTTACTTACTTACCTACCCCTGTTACTCCTCGTCGAGGAGCATAGGCTACACACCAGTATTCTCCATCCAACTCTGTCCTGGACAATCCTTTCCAGTTCTTTTCAGTTAACATTCATCGTTTTCAAATCTGTTTCTATTTCCCGACGTAATGTGTTCTTTGAGCTTCCTCTTTTCCGATTCCCTTTATGATTCCAAGTTAGGGCTTGTCTCGTGATGTAGTTTGGTGATTTCCTTAATGTATGTCCTATCCACTTCCAATGTCTTTCCCTAATTTCCTCTTCATTTTGAAGCTGGTTTGTCCTCTCCCACAGAAGACTGTTGCTAATAGTATCCGGCCAGTGAATGTTGAGTATTTTGCGTAGATAACTGTTTATAAATACTTGTACCTTCTAGACGATGGTTATAGTGGTTCTCCACCTGTAGCTCTTCTAGAGTTACTGCCGGTCCCAATTCCAGGTAAAGGTGGAGGGTTAGGCATGGGGTTAGCGACCCAATCCCGTAGAAAATTAACTGGTGAGACTATAATTTATGGACAACCTTTGAACGAATCTAAGGAGACCTTGAGAAATACTAACCAATCCGAAGACGGTTAGTATAGAGTAAATATATATTATACAAAACCAAATAATCAAAATGGATACACTTTTTTTATATGGCTCAAAAACTTGTCAAGGTTAGAAAAAGTTTTAAAGGTTCCAAAATCGTAATGCATAAGGTAGAGCAACTCGTCCATATGGCTCCGTAATAATCGATCTCTGGAGTCACGATAAGGTCATAAAAAAACCCTCAGCCTCGACCACATGGCTTCATTATTGTTTGTGTGTACTCCAGTTGTGTAAGTTTATCATTTTTATTATGGATATGTCCCTACAATACTCATACCACTGAACAACCGAAGTTTCAGTGACATCTGCGATTATTGCAGCCAATTTTACTGGTTCTTTTATCATACAGTTGGCGGCAATTATTATAAAATGCCTCAGTCTAAATCTGGATCGAGCGGTAAAGGTTCCTATTCTAGCAAACGTCTTCCTTTAGCATATATCACATCAAAGGACAACATCACGGTAGTCTGTACAAGATCTACAAGTCATTTGATTACCGTAACTTAAAATAAAGAAACTTCTTAGTGGTCCCATTTATTGCAGCCGCTTAATTGTCAAGTCTTCTCTAAAATCCTCTGTGAACCGATCGTACATAGGCATCAGGTACTGAAATTGGCGCCACGACTTTGAGATCCCTCAAACGCTTCTGATTGGCTCGTCCATAAATTATAGTCTCGCCGGTTTTTGACACGTGCAACAGAAAATTATACTGGACAGATGCCTTTTTAAACAAAATAAATAAATTCGAAGACAATGTTTAATACAGACTTATTATTCTTATGAATGAGTTACTTCAATCTCATACCAAGTTGACATATAAAACATTCACACTTTAAAACAAACATTATACAATTTGGAAAAATAAGCAGGAATCCAATGGTCTAACCCACAAGGCAGTGGGCATCGTGAGGCGATGCAGTCCCATGGTAGCCAATGACCAACGATTGGTTCATACTCCATTTGTTTCCTAAGGATACTGGAGTTTAGCTTATGTGCATTATTGGTTTGGAATGAGGGTTTTCCAACTCCCCTAGGTGGACTTTCCGTTTCCACCGACCCGGTCAAAGCGCCGGACATTCGCTTTTCTTCTACTCAATTCGTAAACATCAGTAATGACACGAGAAGGCAATGAGTTGATATTGATTAGTTTAAATTTCTAACTTCGTCGTGAGTGCGAACTGTTATGGAATTCCATACAAAGACTAAACAATTGTTCAGTATTTAATGGTTTTCATTAGTTATCTAATCAACATGAGTTCATGATCCAAGCTGTGAACCTTCTGATATTTACACATTTCATTTATTTGGTTTCCCACATATTAACATTCATGTTTATCTGTTCAACTTGGTGTTGAATATAATCAATGATTAACTTCAATTAGAATACCGCAGCGAGAAAGAACACTGACGGGCCCAATCGAATGTATCTAAACACAAATTACAGACAATCTCATTAAATTCTGATAACCCTACACTAAACAGTTAATCTGCAAACTAACAATCAATTGTCTCAATGTTCACTGTTCCTTCTGTAAATACCAATCCATCTTCTCTAATTTCATTGTTTATGTATTTTCCTATCAATTGCTCTTCAATTCAGTTCTTTCCTTATCGGTCTTTTGCCAAAATACATTCTATGCCTGACCATCACCATATACTACTTATGAGGATATAAGTAGACACACCAAAATATCACTGAAAACTAAACATCAATGGAAAACTGTTTCATTGTATTATAGAATTCTTCAACAATGTACATCTAGGATACCTCAAAGTGATCGGAATTGGAATACTATGCTCTTAAAATCAATCTATCACATCACTAGGTTAACATCATCTAATGATTTACATTTCCAATTACATTCATTTTCATAGTTGCAAGCGTGAATCAATTGAAACTAGACAACCAAGGAAAACCTGGAAGCATTGAACTATCGTTTCTTCCTATTGTGAGACTCCTCAACAGTGTGCATCCTTGACCTCGCCTCGTGAGATTCAAACCCAAGACCTAACAGTCTAGCGCCAAAGCACTTAACCGTATACAACAAAATCATTCGGATTAATCAATTTTCTCTTAGTTATTCATTAGTCATTAATATCTATCTAATTATTGAATAAATTGACATCCATTATGATAAATATCAAATTAATGATATTCGTCCATTAAATTAGCGAATAGTGAAACAAAATTATAAATTTCACTAATCATTTATCATCATGTTGTCATTTGATAATAATAATGAACAAGGTGATTCGGAGATACTTTTACCAAAAAGAAATGGCCAGAATTGGTCATTTACAATAACATGATGGTTAGAGGTAGTCGATAGGATACCCTAGATGTAGGTTTCGTGCTAGTTGACACTCGTCAACAAAGTGTACCTGTACGGATGAGCCCTGATGGATTCGATCCCGTGTCACCCAGCTTTATAGTTAGAGACGTTGACAATGGGCTATCTAGGCGGTGACTGACCTCCTTTAAGACTGATATGTATTTACAATTGATTGATCACTAGGTGATGATCAATGTTATGTGTATCAAGTCCTTCTTAATGTAAATAGAACCCTATCAGCTAAGTTGGTTAGTTACAATAACAACTATTCAAATGAATTAACTGTTATCATTCTTACTCAGAAGAACACTATGTTTCAGCTGTAAATGTCTCTGCTTATAAATGTGATCATCATCATCATCGTCACCTATACAGACTAGCAGTATTAAATTACTTATTAAATACTACTACTACATTGTACGTATACAAAATAAATATTCTGGGGTTACTGCCGGTTCCAAATTAGGGTAGGAGGGTTGAGCATAGCGGTCTGTTGGAATATATGGACTACCTGTTCTTCCCTTCTAAATATTTTAACAAATTATCTGTTTTTTTTAAGCAAAGATGGATGGCGGCTAAAAGTAGAATCCAGGATGCGCATTTTGTCTTCTGTGAGACTCGTCAGATGGACGCAACTGGATCCTAGAGTTGATGTTCACTCCAAGACTCGAATCCACTACCGTTCGCTTCAAACGCCATAGTGTTGTATACTAAGCTACTGAGTTCAAACAGCCAATAGTTAGTGCAACGGAGTGAAGTTTAAGTTCATTCTGTATTTTTTGTTTGAATCATCCTATTGATGTTTAGGACTGCAATTGATCAGTCTCGTATTGGCATATGTGCATACTATGCGTATTGCCTCAATAAAGCCCTTATTCACAAGCATTATAAGCAAAGATGGATGATGGCTATCAGTGGAATCCATGACTCGCGTTTCGTCCTATTTGGAACTCGTCAGCTGGGACTCGTCAGTATGCACATATGCCAATAAGAGATTGACCAGTTTCAGTCCGAAACATCAATAGGAAAATTCAAACAAACAATACTAAGTGAATTTATCTGTTTCTTGTTTATTTTAACAGATCGTTATGTCTGTTATTCGCATAACCTACTCAGGTGCATCTGTGAAAAGTTCACAACCTTTCGTTGTACAAGTTACATAAGGCTCAATCAAAGCTACCGTGATTGCTGGCAATATGCATTGAAAAGAATGCACATTATTCAGATGTCGATTAACTGGACTGCTAACTTCTAACTGGCGATCACTCATTATTTATCGTCAGGATCGACGAAGAAGTATGAAACGGGAACTTGTTGACATACAATGTGCCGACAATTCTATATTGTATCAAGCCATTAATAATAATAATGGGGTCAGTAACCTCATCCCGTATAAAACAACCTTGCTGAAAACCGCTAACGTAACGTATACAGAATAGCTTATTTAGAATTGAATAAGTCCGACTATTATCATTATTTTATAAATAGTTACAACACTGAAAGCATACATATTGGAGAAGATGGAATAGAAATTGATTTCTTTTGGATAGAAAACTGTTACATTACAATTCAATCTTAGTCGTACAGATTTGCATTTTGTCAATTTTCAATATTCTTACTTAAATACTCATGTCCTTATTACCAAAAAAATGCTCCATTAAAAAAATATCTTCATCCAGACTACATTTATAAATAGATTAATGTACGGCCGAGAGCGGGGAGAGTCCGCTCTCCCTCTCCGAATGCTCTCAAATGGCCACGCATATATAGCATCTGTCAGAGAAGTCCTACTCATTGCCTTCTCGTTGCGGGGATGTTGTTTACAAAATGGAGAGGACGAAAGGTGAATATCCGGCGCCTTAACCGTATTGCTGTACACAGCAAGTACACCTAGGGCAGTTGGAAAACCCTCATTCCAAACCAATGGTGCACATGGACTCCAGTATCCTGAAGGAACAAATGGTGTATGAATCAATTGTTGATCACCGGCTACCATGAGACTGCATCGCCTCACGATGCTTCACTGCCTTGTGGGTTAGAGCTTTAGGTCAAAGGCTCCGGGTATGGCTCCTAAGAAAACCACCTGTTTCGGTCTGGGCAGCCGGGCAGTATCACAGCCCTCTCGCAAATAAATGAAATGAAACATTCAGCTGACAATTATATTCTCGCTCATACTAGAAACAAAACAATTTGCATTATTACTATTATTATTATTATTTACCATATCGCTAATTCACCCCCTTTTATCCCCAATTTGTGTAACCTTACTCTTCAACTTATGCAGCAGCTCGCTCTTGGTGGAAACTCTGTTCCATCTAAACGATCTCTAGTCGCTGTTTGGTCGAAAGTGAATGCTTCCACCGATTACGAATACTGAAGCAGTCTTTCTGAAACCACGTACGCCGTTCAAGCTCGCTTCCTTCAACGTTCGCACACTAATGCAGATCGGACAACAGATGGGGCTGGCCATGTCTTTAGAAAGTCTTAATGTTGATGTTTGCTGTCTATCCGAGACCCGTATTCAAGACTCTAGTGAAGTACTACAAATCCGCTCTCCATCTGTCGCCTCGAAAAGCTTGTTCCACGTGCGCTTATCCGGGGACCCTATATCATCCTCGTCTGGTCTTGCTGGAGTTGGTGTCGCACTAAGCGCTAGAGCTGAGGCAGCACTAATCGACTGGATCCCAATTAACAGTCGGTTATGTGCTGTTAGATTAGAAAGTTCCATCAAAGTGAGAAGAAACCGGCTTGAGAATCGGTGTCTTTTCATCATCTCCGCCTATGCTCCGACAGATTGCAGCCCGGATGCAATCAAGGATGAGTTTTACCATCAGTTAACAGTTCTTCTCCAGAATGCGCGTTCGACAGATATTGTAGTACTAGCCGGAGACTTGAATGCTCAGGTCGGGCGTCTAGGTACAGAAGAGAGTCGTCTAGGTGGCCGATGGGGACTTGTTGGTTGCAGGACAGATAACGGGGACCGTTTGCTGCAACTGTGCACAGACCACAACCTGTTTCTGGCCAGCACTAACTTCCGGCACAGTCATCGCCGGTGTGCCACCTGGCGTCCTCCCTCTGCATCCCAAGCCTGGACTCAGATTGATCACATCGCGATCAGCTACCGCTGGCGTGGTTGTGTACAAGACTACCACTCCTTTTGGAGTACCTATCTGGAGTCTGATCATGCCCTAGTCTACGCCAATCCCATCTTACTTTTCAGTGGCCGAAGGATTGACCACCACCAACGGATTGATGTTAGTAAACTGGCTGCAACTTCTGTTGTAAGTAAGTATCGAGCGGAGCTAGCCTCTAGGCTAGCTACCACCCCACCGAAAAGTACATATGAGCATTGGTTGCTTCTTCACGACGCCATGAAAATGGCGAGTAAAGCCGCTTACGGCTTCGCGAAACGTTCCGCTTACAAGCACTGGGTCTCTTCTGGCTCCTTACAACTGATGGAAGCCCGTCGGTCTACTCCGGGTGACCATGAGTATGACCACAAACGAAGGCTGTTACGTAATTAAATTGGGCAAAGCTTGCGTAAGGACCGAGAAGCCTGGTGGTTGGAGCGTGCTTATGAGATGGAAGCAGCAGCTGCATCTGGTAACTGCCGAAAGCTCTTCCAACTCATCCGAGCCACTGGCAGCAAGATGTCTGGTGTGAGTGAAACAATCTACGAGGATGATGGGATGCCAATCACTAACATCTCTCGATGTCTTGGACGATGGGCGGAATTTTTCGAAGGGCAGTTCAACTGGCCTGCTGCTCCGGCAACATCGACCAGTTTGTCCTGTCACCCATGGACGGTGACGACTGATCCACCAAACGAGGCGGAAGTCCGCAAGGAACTCCAACTCTTGAAACGTTACAAATCACCTGGCCCAGATGACTTACCTCCGGCTCTTTTTAAAGATGGTGGTGACTTTCTGACTAAGGAACTGACGGTGTTGTTTGGAAAGGTTTGGGAGCAAGAAAGTGTTCCAACATCATGGAATGAGTCAATAGTCGTCCCTATCTTTAAAAAGGGTTCACGTTGTTCCTGTAACAACTATCGGAGGATAAGTCTACTTCCGATTGCGTCCAAACTATTGGCTTGTGTCATTCTTCGTTTTCAGATATGGCTCAGAATAAAAGCCAGTGGCGTGCCTGCTGTAACCTTCGTTTACTTTCTTCATAAAGAGTGGCTATAACTTTCCTAACTGAGAGAGCTCTCCTGGTTGTACATTTCACTTCCCCCATCATTACTCTTATCCTTTTCTTTTTTTTTTCCTTCTTTTATATATACACATCTTCTTTCTTCTCCTCCCATTCTCATTATTTTGTGTAACGCAGATGTATCCGATGCCCTTTATACCAATATATATGTGATTAAATAAAATGAAATGAAATGAAACTTTCAACAACATCAATAACAGTCTCCGCAATATGAGTCATTATTCTCAAATATACTGGGGTTTATATACTAATCAAACTGACCACATCGTACCATAAAATAGAAAATAACATTTGTACAAGATTTGGCCAAATGTGACTGTGAATAGGGGGAATAGTACTTAATGGACTAGGGATAACTTAATAATGGTAAATCGTATAATAATAATTCTATAGGTCAAAATAAAGCTTATAATAAAGGTAACATGGATATGAATACTTTAGTTACTTAACAATTATGCAATAGGAAATATACATTTCATATTGGTTCATAAATAGTTCCCAAAGTTACCATTCATAATTCTCCATAGGATATAACAAAAGCAGAACAAATTCGAACTAAAACTCAATACAAAAACCTATTTAATAGTGGATTTCATGAGTTGATTTAAACTAAACCATCCTGAAAAACCATGAAGGACTGGTTGATCGTTTCATCCTAGTATGAGACTCTTCAATAGTGCACATCCATAATATCTCAAGT